GACAGGTTGCATGACATCAGATATCTGGAAAATTATGGTTGGCCATAAATAGCAATGTGCGCCATTAAAATCTTTACTAGGCAGTATCTAAGAGTTTATATAGGCCTGGTCATTCCATTATCTCTGTGCTAGTATTGCATAATATTCCTAGCCATCTTATATACCTCAGACACTCCACACAGCAAAAGAAAGAAAAGTAAATGTCCTCTAGGTAAGAAGGGAAATGAGTTTGACTGGTCCATTCATTGAGTTGGATGCGCAGCATCACATCTGATGTCATCAGGGATATAGCAGATGCCAACAGAAACCTTTGGTATGTTTCTTTTTTCTCCTTGATCCGTTGGTTCCTTCCTGGTGTTCAAACTCTTGGGTTTCGTGTAGGCTCAGAGTTCTTAAACCTTTTCTTTTCCCTTCAGTTTCTTTCTTCTTTCTATGACTCAATGCCAACAGTAGCTCCAACTAACCCAGGTTGACTCTAACCACTGTTAGTGACTGAGTTTGGTTTTCTTTTTGCACATCAGCACCACTGCTAACGGCTGGCATTTTAAAAGTACTACTTTTTTTTGTATTTCGTAGTGAAACCTCTGAGCATTTGGTAAGTAGAAAGTGAACAGAAACCCCTTTTTTCATTGAGTTGGTTTTAGTTTGATCAACTTAAATAGTAAGTCCGAAAAAAAAAATAAAACAAATAGATTTATATTGGGGGACTATTTTGACAGTGGAGAGCAATAGGAAGAACTGGGCTCCAAGATTTTTCTTGAAAGACATATTCAGCCAAGCAACAGGCAGCTCGATATCATTTTGCTGTCATTAGGACAGAACCTGAACACTGCAAAGGAGGAAGTTGCATCCTGTCAAGGCTTTCTCATCCTTATCCACGCTTACGCTGCATTTCCCCAAATGCCCCAGATCCATGTTCTTCACGCCTCCATACTTTCTCCCATACTGTGTGCTCGAAACCTAATCCATGTAAATGTATTTCCTTCGTGTTTGCACATTAATCCAATAATTCACCTCCTCTGTCACTATGTAAAACAGATACTCTTATTTTAAGTGATTTACCCTTCCCCTCCTGATTCTTTTCCCTCAAACTCAGCTTAAAATTCAGCAGTCAACTGCCAATGTGTTGGGGGTAAATGCTTCAGACACACACAGAGAGCACGCCCGATGCCTCCTCCTCATGCCTGTCTGTGACTGTTTTCCACCAGCCCAATTTTAACAAGGCAGTAGCTCCAGCCCCCCGTCACCTGATGGTGTGGAGCCTTCCTGTCTGCCTCCAACCCAGGGCCTCTCAACTTGTTTGTATAAACATCCTTATGCACAACCATGCCACATGCTCTCCCGGGACAGACTCTTCCCTGAGCGAGCACTCCTCCCAGTCTGAGAGTGAGTCCTCCACGGCCATTCTATCATTCTAGCTTAATTACAGCTGGGCGACTCTAACACCCCTGATTGCTTGGAGACACCTTTCCCAACCGGGGATCAGAGAACTGCTGTGACAGATGGCGTCACCTTAGCAACCCCTGTTGCCACTCATGTAATTATTCTTCCTTCCTTTGCCTCCACCATTTTTTTAAAGGCCTGTACTTGTTTGTTATCCGTGTTTCGTGGCTGAGCATTTTTATTTGCATAGGTGTTGATTAGCAAACCAACTCTCTACCATCTGTTAGGGAAAACTATTGAGTCCTCCTCACTAAGGCCATTTGGTTCTAAAAGTTTTACTGATATTCCCCTTCTTACACATAGGTACTATTTATGGTAACTCTAAAATGGTCTGCTTCTGATTTACTGTTTTTCTGTGCTATAAAGTGGTTTATTTCTAAGGCACTATATCAGAAATATAAATAAGTAGATTATTGAGGTTAAATTATAAAGTCCACAATGTTTCAAATATTGTAACTTACCTGGAAGATAACGCATTCTCTAAGACACATCGCTGTGTCCAGGGTTAATAATAGTTTATGCACTATCTTTCTCCCGTGAGTGATTCTGACCGTATAGCTCTAATGGCTTTTTCTGCTCTTTTGATGACTGTCACCTCCAGTGAGCTCTCTTCTGTCACTATGGGAGTGGAAGACATAAACAGTCTTAGCCCATCTTATAGAAATATAGCTTGAAGTTGTTTTGAGATATTTTCCCTGAGCCATCCCAGTTTTGAAATTTATGAAAGTATTTTTCTTTAATATCTCAACAATTTGTCTTTCATTAATGCACTATAGAGATAGTTCTCATATATATATGCGCTATCATGGCCATGTCTATAATTTCATTCAGCGGTCACTAGTCAGTGGTTAACGAGTGGCTAAGATGCTGGTCATTCTTATTACGGAGCTCCTCAGTCAATGAAGAGACTATGATGTCCATCGAAGGATGTACAGCTTTGAGCATCTGCCAATTTGAGCAGAGAGGGAGAGACTGTCTGAAATTGTTGCCCTCATAAACTCTTGATGGGTTCTGTCAAAGGGAAAATACAGTTGTGCTACATAGTTTCTAGATACTGTCATGGCATGACATGACATGATTTTATATATGTATATATATATACATATACATATATATATAATCTTGTGTCTGTATGCCATCAGAGGTGTCTATAACTGAAGCTAGGCCAATTATCAGTTTATTGCACATGAACTCTCCAGGGCTATTATGGAGAATTATTAACTTACTATGATCAAAAAAGTAAATCTGCTTTCAATGGTTTGTCCTTATCTCTCTAATTGGTGCTTTGGCAGCCATCACAGTAATTCATATTTTCTTAGTATTATATAGGTTTGATAGTCCTAATCCAAATATCCAAATTCTATCATTTTTTAAAATTTGAAACATTTTAAGTGTTGACATGACATTGTAAGTTAAAAAATTCCATATCTGACTTCATGTGTGATTAAAAAAATTTTTTTACTTAGAGACCGGAGAAATAGTTCACTGATTCAGAGCACTGGCTCTTAGAGGGTCTGCATTCAGTTCCCAGCACCTACATGGAAGCTCACAACCACTTATGATAGGATCCAATGCCCTCTTCTGGTGTGCAGACATACATGCAGACAAAGTACCCGTATATAGAAAATATAGAAATAAAAAAGCTTCAAGGGCACTGCAGTTTTTTTAATAAAATTACCTTCAGACTATATGTATAAATTGTCTATTAAAATAAATTTCATATTTAGACTTGAGATCCATACATCCCATAAAAGATATGTCATGTGTATATATGAGCACCCCATATCCAAAGCTGTGTGAAGTCTGAAAGACTTCTGTCCCTAAGAATTTGGATAAGGGATACTCAGCTGTTATAGAAACCTTAGTTTTTAATAAGAATTATTCTGTTTTTTTTTACATTCATTATCGTAACACATCAAAGATGATTTAGAAAAAGAGACAAAAAATATTTGTAGCTTGCTTAGCAGAGTTATGTAAAAGTCCTTCCTGTGTTCTACACTTGCCTAAATGTCTGGTTTAAAAGGTCCTTAACATGGGGCTGCTTAGAAAATAAGAGAATTTTTCTAATAGCTTATATTTAGTGCCGCCCTTATAATTGAATATTTATTGATTTTAGGGCTTAGGTGATATGACTTTCAAGTAAATTGGCTTTTGTCTGGATCGTTTGAAAGCATAACCATCTCAGAGTGAGGTTATACATATACACTCCTCACCTGTTGTGTTGCATACTTATGTAGTTGATATTTATTTTGTTTAAAAAAAGTAGAAGAGCCGGGCGGTGGTGGCGCACGCCTTTAATCCCAGCACTCGGGAGGCAGAGGCAGGCGGATCTCTGTGAGTTCGAGGCCAGCCTGGTCTACAAGAGCTAGTTCCAGGACAGGAACCAAAAGCTACGGAGAAACCCTGTCTCGAAAAATCAAAAAAAAAAAAAAAAGTAGAAGAGTCTGTAAGTTATGAGTCTCTTTGTCTGTGCCTACCTATGTTTATATTACTCATCTATAATGTTCTTTGAACTAAATATCCTAACTAATGTTTTAACTCACTTGCATGCATTATTCAGTTTGCATAATTCTCAGTGGTATGTTCTGCAGAGTAGCTCTGACCTGGACGTCTCTGATCTAAGCTGGTGGAATTCAGTCCCAGCCTGTGTCCTGTGACTCTCTGCTAGGTCATCAATGCCAAGTTGCATGTCTTAACAACCACAAGAGAAGCACCATGTGTGACTGTCTCAATGAGAAGTGTCGGGTAGCATTAGAAATAGAAAATATTCAGATGTAAACAAGTAACTCAGTGTATTAGGAGATCAGAATAGAATGCTAAGTAAAGTTGAAGCAAGGAGAAGCCAGTGTTTTGACATCTTTACAATGGTCTACCAGGTACGTGACTGCTAGAATAGCTCATTTCATGACTCATAAACCCGAACACTTGCCTTCTGTGTTAGTTAGTTACCTTGTTTTGGAAACATTAATTCATTAGAGAACGTTCTGACTGAGTTGTGAATCAGCCCCCTCCTCCTGTCAGAGAGCATTCATCTCAAATCCGCCATCCAGAAGGATGCCAGGGAATTGTGACTGCTCAAGTCCTGGTTGTGAGAGCTCAGTTATCCTCCTCATTTGGCAGTGACCCCTGTTGGTGGCACCCTTAAAATCAGAGTGGTGTGCCTGCTGCCTGGCTGCTCTCCCTTTTCCTAACCACTTCAGATGCCCTCTTACAACATAAAAGAATGACTCGTGAAGAATAGGATGGAGAAGAGGCAGGCGGATCTCTGTGAGTTCGAGACCAGCCTGGTCTACTGAGCTAGTTCCAGGACGAGCTCCAAAGCCACAGAGAAACCCTGTCTTGAAAAACCAAAAAAAAAAAAAAAAAAAAAAAAAAAAGAATAGGATGGAGAAAACGGAAAACAGCCAAGTACTTTGTCCCTCTGACATCAGTTCTCAAAACAAGTAAAAGCCTTGACGTTGATGACTGTCCTGGAGTTGGAAATTCTTGCTGTCGTTTAATGGAGTGACGTTCACAGGGGACCGTGTGCTATAACGGGGTCCATGTGCTTTTCTCAGAGCCAGATAACCATCAATGGCAACTCTGGCGGTGCTGTGAGTCCAGTCAGTTACTATCAAAGGCCATTCTCCCCTTCCGCGTACTCCCTTCCAGCCTCGCTCAACTCCAGCCTTATCATGCAGCATGGCAGATCGCTTGGTAAGTACTGTAACCATGATCTCCACGCCAGCTTTAACGTGACAACTATATATCACAAGAGAAAAATGTAAGGTAACAAAACTGAGGAACGAGTGACCAATATCACCCACTGGTGAGCCTAAGTTGGGAGGAATTAGAACAGAAAGAAGGGAACACATTGTAGAAAAGAGGTACTTGTGGCAATTCCATCTGTAGCTAATCCTGGAGAACGCTATTTCCAGTTGGTATTTAAGTGAAGGGGTAGAAAGACCAGGAAAATACCTAAGAGATAAGGGAGCTTCTTAGACCCAGAAAACACTTTTCTATTGAGGTGGCTTGCTCCTTTGTGGAAAGAATGTTCATTCTAGAATCTTCTTTAGTTATGGCTATAGAAAATTGTTTAACAATTAAAACAGTGTAAAAGGGGATAGGTTACAGTCACACAGTGAGGTCCTAGATCACACTGTCATAAACTGCCAAACTGAGGTTCGAAGGCTATCAGTCAGCACTGAGGCAGGGGGAAGTGAAGGAGAACTCCCTTCAGTAAAGATCCTACAGTTTATAGAGATAAGTTCTTAATCATTTAGAGATTTAAAGTTTAGCCAAGACAAGGCCCTTGGTTCTGAGGGGGTGGCCCAGTGGTTAAGGTCACTTGTTGCTCTCCTAGAAAACCCAGTCTCCATTCCCAACACCCAAATGATGGTTTGCAACCTTCCGTGACTCTAGTTCCAAGGGATCTGACACCCTCTTCTGACCTCTGAGGACACCAAGCACACACGTGGTGTACATACATACACATAAGCATAAAATATATAAATCTAAGTGAAATTTTTTTGCTATACTCCTCCTGCAACAAAAATGATTACTTCCTAAACCATTGAGTGTGACTCTTTGTCCCATTGCTTGCTGTAGTGGACACAGTTTTCCCCAGTCTACCAAATAAAATATATAAATACTCAAGCATAAACTGGCCTTGACTTTAGATCTAACCTGTAAGTAGATTTTATACATGTTTATATATAAACAATGAACATATAAAAGTTCATTTCAAAACTTTAAGCGTATAATTTTGTGGGTCTTGTAAACTCTTTAGAGCTTCCTGGAAAAAGTTTGAGCTACATAAAGATAGAAACATTCTTATGTAGCAAAATAAATTAGCATAGTTTAAAAATAATGTAGCAACTATTTCTTAGTTGCTAAAAATTCAATGTAAAAATTCCAAACCTTGTTTGAAAAGTCTTACCAAACTGAACCATTGCGTGATGGTAGGATGAAAACCATTTCCATGACCTTGAGAACCTAGAAAGTTTTCAGAAGAACAGAGCAGAAAGGATGCTCAGGAGAGTATACACCTACATGAACCTCTCAAAAAGAGAGGGACCATCTTGCAAATACTACAGATCAGCAACAGAGATAAAAATCTAGAACACAGACCCGTACACCATTCTGTAGTTGGCAGCAGTCCCTTTCCACATCCCACATTGACTCTGAACTGAACAAATATGATACCACAGGCTTACTAAAGAACACTTCATGTCGATTTCAAGCCCACTCTTGGTAGACCTCAGCTTCCATGGTCAACAAAACTTCACTAAGGTTTTAAAGATAGTCATGGGACTCATTAAAGAAGTCTCGATCTACTTGGGCCTCTTCTAATGCTGCTCCAGGGAGCCATTTCTGAAGCTTGTAATGATCTCCTTTCAGACTGTGAGAAAGAGAAGCTTGCTTGTGCCAAATTCCTCTCTTTGACAACTGGTCTGTAGCTCAGTTTTATAAGAGGCTCCACTATTTCAAGATTTTGTGGTGCAATTAGGCATTATTTTACATGAAAATGAAACTTTCTAAATTATTTCAGCCATTCCTAAATAATCATTAAATGTGACTCTTTATCCCATTGCTTCCCCCAGTTTCCCCCAGTCTACCAAATAAAAAAATTTAAATGCTCAAGTATAGACGGGCTTTGACTTTAGACCTAACCAGTGAGTAGATTTTACACATAAGCTGTTTAACATTGAGAGAAATTTCCTGTATAAACATTGAACAACTTCCAATTGGCCAAGGCAATGAGGTGAGTGGAATTTACAAGTCCGCTCTGCCCTAGGTGAACTTCAGCTTTAGTCAAAGCCAAAAAATCGCAAACGTAACAGTCTATGGGCCACAGAAGAGAAATACAGAGAGACTTCACTTTCATCACGCAAGCTGCGTGTTTGTGTGGTCATCTGAACTATACGTGAAGACTGACTTGATACTGTTTCTTAGGCTTGGACCAGGGCACATTCTGGGTGTTCAGAAGAGTCTGGCTGCTGACAAAAATCCCAGCACTGTGGCTATCTCATCAAGGCCTTTGAGGAATTAAAATAGAAAGTCAACCAGCGTGAAGTGATGCACTGTGATTCGTTTAGAACACCTTGGGGAGATGGGATCTATGTGACCAACCAATGACACCATGAGGCACTTCTGTTCCTAGACACATCCAATCAATTCAAAAGTGCCTTGAAAAGCTTTTCTGTTGCAAACTAAATTGAAAATGGTCGTAATTATAGCAGTTATAACGATATAATGGCTATCAGACTAGAGAGAGCATAACACTAAATACCCATGTGAAAATGACTCAGCCTTAAAATGCTTCTTTTGATGCTTTACTTGTTCTGCCTGGAAAACACATTCATATTTATGATATAAAGTTAATTATGCTATCTATACATGATAGAAATATTGTAAAGCATATATATGTTTGAAAATGAACTCCACACATATATATTTGAATATATAAATATAATCAGCAAATGCTATCCTGAAACATAAGAATTATTCAGCTTCCCACAGAGAAGAACTCAAAAACAGTCCAGCTAAAGCAGGTCACACAGAGCCTAAATGAAGACTCATTTCTGTTCACCAAGTTCTGAAAGTTCAAAACAGTAGGAAGTCACATCACTACTGCATTTTGTGCCCACCAATAACGTTCTTTTTTTTCAAAACTATATTTTTAACTTAGAATGAGTAGACTAGGTCATATATATGTTCTCAGTTACCTCTGAGAGTATTCCAGGCATTCATAATATTAACATGTAGATGGAAATTTATTAAGCCTCATGTAACTTAAATCCTTAGGACAATTGTCAGTCTCAAAGGATAAAAAACCATGACATAGGTATTTTTCTAAAGCCAACAATATTAAATAAACATTATTAAATAAATTCAATAAATTGTAATCACTCACAAGCACTTGTTTATCCATAAGCTTTCACTTGCTAGTGTATGTCTAGATCAAAAAAAGAAAAAAAAACCTAAGTTTTATTTTCAATTTCTTTTTATGGAATCATTCTTTGGCTCAATAAGCCTATTGCTTCTCAAAAGTTACCTCTGGTTCCTTCCTCATACGGCAGTCAGCAGCTTCACAAGAGTCATATGTGAGTAACGACCTAAGGGCATTTATAAGGGTGATTCTTGCTCCCCCCACCATCCTATCCATCCAAGAGGACTGCAAGGAAGGTGAGATGGAGCAAGCTCAGTGTCCCCCAACATGGCTGTCCACATCATTCAGCTGATCCTCTTCCTCTTACCCTTCTTTGTAAAATGGTGAGGTCGTCATCCCATATGTGGATGTGATACCCACTTCTGAATGAGATGGCGTAAATATGTTAAAAGGCAAAGAGCTATCTATAGCTGTGGGGTTTATTGTGGGTGGCCATCAATGTACAAGAGCCACCATTAATTTGTAGTCTGTGTGTGCATCTGGGTGCTCCCTGTCACTGTGTTTCCTCCACAGATTCTGCAGAGACCTATTCCCAGCATGCCCAGTCTCTGGACGGCACCATGGGAGGCTCTATCCCACTCTACAGATCCTCAGAGGAAGAGAAGAGAGTGACGGTTATCAAAGCCCCACATTACCCAGGGATCGGCCCCGTGGACGAGTCCGGCATCCCCACAGCCATTAGAACGGTAAGCCATGCCAGGGTCTGCCCATGAACTCCACAAAGGGTGGATTGTGCATGCTGTCATGCATTCCTGGGGCCTTATAGCATGACGGTTGTCTTCTGAGCCATCGGAGCTCCCATGAATGCCAGGCTGTGTGGCAGAGGGAGAAAACTGCCAAGGGACGACAACTACGCAATCTTGTTTCCCGTTTGAATTGGAAATCATGAAACTGTGGGTTTTGTTAAATAGCAACACTCCGCTTTTAACTTTCTATCAAGGAGAGGTGAGCCTAGAGAGAAAAAGGGAAAGGGGCGAAGTGAGTAGGTCCTTTCACAGCATCCAATTCCCACATGCACTGTAAAAAGACAAGCGACTGGTTTCTCGAAATGGATGTGAGTTCACGCCAGGGGATGGGGGAACTGTCAACTGGGACTTGAGAGGTGAGATTTTTGGAGGGAAGGGAGGTAATATCACGGGAAGGAAACACTGTCTGTGGGGGAAAAAAAGGAACATTTGCATGCCCTCCTCTGCCGAGCCTGCTGCAAGCTCCCTGGATGATAAGTCGAAGTGTTGAGGGCATTTTTTTTTTTAGTCTTTAAACTCTGCCAAAGCGTTACTCAGTGTGCCGGGGCAGCCCTTTCTGGCAACGTTCCGCAGCAGCAGAGCCTAGGCAGGCAGCTGTGTGCTGACCACGTCCATTGCAAGAAGAGGTCTGTGGTAGCAGCGAAGGAAGACCTGGGAAGCCAGGATGAGAGCCACGGCGTCTCTGCAGGTGAACTTGGTGGGGCTGAGAGGAGGGAGCGCCAGCTGCATAGAAGTTGCCTGGGTGCCCACATAAAGGGCTGAGATGCTGCCAAGACAGCGTCTCCCGAACGGAAACCCGGGAGCCAGGGACAGTAAGGGACCTAGCAAAAGAATGGGAAGGCTATCAGGACAGACGCAACGGTGAGACAGGAAACATTTGAAAATGGTGAAAGATGAAGTACGAGCTGTTTATGAGTTTGCAGTGATCATGTTTTATATACAGACATGAGTTCAGAATTGATTATTCTTGGCTTCAGTATTGTAGCTGAAGCCAAAAAGAAGTATATCTGTATAGCATACGCTTGGGATTGAGACTTCTCAGATGGTTAAGGATGTTGAATGTGACTAATAAAGCTGGCAAAATCTGTATCGGAATGATGATGGCCATATTTAAGTGACAGGAAAAATCCCAGGGCTTGTGACTAATCGGCTCCATTTAATGACAGTTGTATGTTTCTGATGGCAGTGTTTGGACGTTTGTTTCCTTTCAGAATTTCTGACTCAAAATGACTAAATTTGAATTTTGCCGTGGTGATGAGGGGATAGTGACTCAGACAGGAACGGTGTCATGGATTATGCCTGTTAGGTTTTCAGTATACTGTGTCTAAGGGCTAAGAGATCATTGCTTTCTATGCAGTTACAGATGCTGTCTGATTCTATCTAAAACCTTCGGATGTGTTTTTAAGTTAGTAAATGATATGTAAAAGTGGACATTTAATGTGATCCATTCTTTTTCATCTGTAGATTTTTAATCTGTAATGTTTGGCTCGCAAGTCTTTGTTAGGTTTTTAAAGAAAAATCTAAGATGTCGGAGATGATAAACAAAACTCAATTAATACTAAAAGGTTTATATTACCTACTGCCAAATGATAAGCAGCCATATATGTCCGCTAAGTATGTGATGTAAATTTCCCTACAGAAAATTGAAAGTGAATTATTAGCCACTGCAGAAGTTCCTTAAAAGGAGCCCTGTTTTTTTCTGTATAACTTGCTCAGACCTTTAAAACCATACAAGAGGGATCCTGTTCATGTTTACTGCTCTGCAGCCTTACGAATCACACATCCAAGTATAGATCTGTATTTATAAATCTTGAATCCTGCCATCCCTGGGCCAAGAATATCCAAGGTTATTTTCTTTCCTCATCCTTGTAGAAAGTAATGATGATCAGACTCAAATTGCTTCAGCTTCCTGCTCAGTATGTACATGTAAACCAGCACTGACTCCATGTGCCATGTTGGGGTAGCCTCCTAGACAACTGTTCCCATGGCAACGGGATATCGTAAAGTGGTCCAGGAACTGTTGAGAAGAATAACTGAATACTCACTACTTTTGAGTTCTTGGGATGGAGGGAGAGCATCCCTTCTCCCGTGGCTGGGATGTCTACATCAGCCTTTTCCTGCCGAAAACTTCAAAACAGTAACACAAATCTCCTGGGCTCTGAGCCCACCAGACTGTGTATGAAGCCTGGCTGGTTAAGTGAGATGCAAGCTTTCTTTCTTCTAATCCAAACATAACAGTTGTCTGGCTATTTTAGAGGTTCCAGGACCAAAAGTGGAATAGGATTATTGTTGTGTTATAGGTAGAAAATGGCTTTTTAAAAAATGTCTGCATGTAAAATTAGTGAACAGTGCCAATGTTTCATGACTAGAAGAAGATGGATGTTGAAGCCTGTTTGGATGACGGCTGGGCAGGAGTTAGGGAGTCTATGCAAAATACTTCTGAAATACATCCAAAAGTAAACCTCCCAAGTATGGACTTCAGCTTTCATAGTCTCAGTGTGAGACACTATGTGCTCCCAAATGGCACTGGCAAAAGGGACAGAAGTGCTCACAGCACTTCTTTTAGGAAAGGGCCACTGACTCTGCAAGTCTCTGCTTTACCAGCCTCACAGTCTCTCTGCCAGCTGACGAGGCACTTCCTGGCTTCTCTGTACTCTCCATATAAAGCTAACAGATGGCATAACTGTGGGATCCTGCCTGATATAGGCCCTCTGGCAAGTGCAGACAACAATGCTGTCTGTCACGCTGCATTGCCATATACAGCAATACACCTTCCTTATTCAGCCTCCCCGTCCCCATTGGCTGTGTCCAGGTACAGTGAAAAACTATTTTTATACACAGTTGTATGTTCCTTTTGTGCTTGTGGCTTTAATAGTATAAAACTAAGCTAGAAACAAAGCATAATGAAAGAGGGGCCTGCCATCAGAAAAATCAATGACAGCCTAAAGAGATTCGATCAAATATGTTTGTGTGTGTGCATGTATGTGGACACGTGGACCTGTGTGTACACGGGTGTGCACAAAGAGGCTGGCAGTCAAAACTGGGTATATTCTTCAGTTGCTGCCCAGTCTTCCTCACCCAACCCAGAGCTGTTTACTGCCTCCTCAGAGCTGGGATTATAGGAGCCCACTTTCATGCCCAGTTTTTTATGTGAGTGCTGGCAACAGGAGCCCAGGTTCTCAAACTTACATGGCAGGTACCTCACTGACGTAAGCCTTGGTCCCCATGTTCCATTATTCTGTTTGAACCAGCAAACAGCAGATTCCTGCCTCTTTGTGGATAATGCCCCCCCCCAGCCCACACACTAGTTACTATCATTTGGCTGTATAGACACTAGTTCCTATCATTTAGTCATATAATAATCAATGATTATATATATATATATATATATATATATTAGAAGAAGCTTACAATGCATATGTGATTCTCAACAAAACAGATGTTCATTTACATGTCTAGTGACTGTCAAAATTGTCTACTTCCAGAACTCAAAATAAATGTAAATACTGCCTAACAGTTTCTAGGTGAAAAATTCAACGACCACATCTACAAAAGTCAGAATACAAAATATCAAACACTTTCCACTCTTACAAGTCCTAACTAACGCGTTGTTGTTGTTTTAAATTCCTGCTCTCTCCTATATTCCATCCAGACCCAACCTCAGTTTTCCCTCCCCCAGCAGATGTCCCCCCCACTGGCTTCCCAGGGACATCAACCAAACACAGCATATTCTAACAAATAATTCAAATCAGGGCCATGACCTTGGAAAAATCTGATGTTTTTAAGTTGCCTGTGCACAGACAGAAGGGCTAACTTCTGGCCCAACCAGCACTGATAAAGTCGAGAGGAAGATCTTGCTGAGCAAACTGTTGCACTACAGTTAGAAAACAGAACGTGCTAGGACTTACCAGAGGGCAGGGAACCCTGACTGCTCTTTGGACTGGAGAGGGAGGGGGAGAGGAGTGGGGGGAAGGGGAGAAGGGTGGGAGGAGGGGGAGGGAAATGGGAGGCTTGGAGGAGGTGGAAACTTGTTTTTTTTTTCTCCTTTTCTCAATAAAAAAAAAGAAAGAAAAAGAAAAACAGAACGTGCACTTTCACAGACCGTAAGACAGAGTTGCATCCCATAAATTCGCTCAGCATTTCACTCCACGGGTGTTGGAGTCTCCCCGCTGCCTTTAGTTATCGAGATCTGTTATAGTGGAAGGACCCTTAACTCTAAGCCCCTTAACACACATTGTGAGAGACCATGACTCGGGAGACTAAGGCACAGAGTCAAAGAGGTGGCTGTTTGACATCCATCTCTAGCTACTACTTGCTCACAGGGGCATGCATACCTGTGCACACAAGCATATGCCCCCCACACACCCAAAGAAATGAAGAGACGCATAGCTTTCTCAGACCCCAACCTCTAGGAAGCATTAAGTAGCAACCAAAGGCTCCAAGGTTCAAATGTTGTTTAATGATTGGACATTAATTTCCTATTTGTACTAAAATATGCTGCTTCTATCACACCTAAAGCCTGCCATGCCTAGGGAATGCCTACTATCACAGAGTTTATAATTTAGCAAGGAAAAAGTTGAGTGTACTTTTATGTCTTGTGATAGATGTTTTAAAATCAAATCATAGCTACACATATGAGTGTGCGCGCACACACACAGATAGTCTATGACTTTGCATTGTCTGATAAATTCAGTATTTTTGTCACTTAGACTAGCAAATACTAATTTTGTCTTCATTGAAGCTGATCAGAATATCTACCACTTGAGTCAAAAATATCCCCTAGTATTTTTTATAAATATCTATTTATTTATTATGTATACAACATTCTGTCTGTGTGTACGCCTGCAGGCCAGAAGAGGGCACCAGACCTCATTACAGATGGTTGTGAGCCACCATGTGGTTGCTGGGAATTGAACTCAGGATCCTTGGAAGAGCAGGCAATGCTCTTAACCACTGAGCCATCTCTCCAGCCCCTCCTCTAGTAATTTTTAAATGTCTTCATAGAACACTCAATAGAAAAATTTAAGAATAATGATACGGAATAGGGAAATGGATCTGTTGGATGCTTGCAGGGCAAGCACAAGGACCTGCGTTCCATGCCTAGCACCCACATAAAAAGTGGCATGATCAGGGAAATGCAAATCAAGACAACTTTAAGATACCATCTTATACCTGTCAGAATGGCTAAAATAAAAAACACCAATGATAGCCTTTGCTGGAGAGGTTGTGGAGAAAGGGGTACACTCATCCATTGCTGATGGGAATGCAAACTTATGCAACCACTCTGGAAAGCAGTGTGGCGGTTTCTCAGGAAATTCGGGATCAACCTACCCCTGGACCCAGCAATACCACTCTTGAGAATATACCCAAGAGAGGCCCTATCATACAACAAAAGTATATGCTCAACTATGTTCATAGCAGCATTGTTTGTAATAGCCAGAACCTGGAAACAACCTAGAGGCCCTTCAATGGAAGAATGGATGAAGAAAGTATGGAATATATACATATTAGAGTACTACTCAGCAGTAAAACACAAGGACTTCTTGAATTTTGCATACAAATGGATGGAAATAGAAAACACTATCCTGAGTGAGGTAAGCCAGACCCAAAAAGAGGAACATGGGATGTACTCACTCATATTTGGTTTCTAGCCATAAAAAAAAGAACATTGAGCCTATAATTCGCGATCCTAGAGAAGCTAAATAAGAAGGTGAACCCAAAGACAAACATATAGGCATCCTCCTGAATATTAACCTTCATCAGGCGATGAAAGGAGACAGAGACAGAGACCCACATCGGAGCACCGGACTGAAATCTCAAGGTCCAAGTCAGGAGCAGAAGGAGAGAGAGCACGAGCAAGGAACTCAGGACCGTGAGGGGTGCACCCACACACTGAGACAATGAGGATGTTCTATCGGGAACTCACCAAGGCCAGCTGCCCTGGGTCTGAAAAAGCATGGGATAAAACCAGACTTGCTGAACATAGTGGACAATGAGGACTACTGAGAACTCAAGAACAATGGCAATGGGTTTTTGATCCTACTGCACGTACTGGCTTTGTGGGAGCCAAGGCAGTTTGGATGCTCACCTTATTAGACCTGGATGGAGGTGGGTGGTCCTTGGACTTCCCACAGATCAGGGAACCCTGATTGCTCTTCGAGCTGATGAGGGAGGGGGACTTGATCGGGGGAGAGGGAGGGAAATGGGAGGCGGTGGCGGGGAAGAGGCAGAAATCTTTAATTAATAAACAAATAAATAAGCATCATGATGGCACATACTGGTAACCCCAGAACTGGAGGGTGGAGACAGAAAGATTCCTGGGGCTGCCCTATCCACATTGGTAAGGCCTAGGTCCCAGAGAGACTATCAAAAACCATGATCACTTCCTGAGGAACAACATCTAAGACTGTCTGTAGTAAGGAGGTCGCTAGTTTGTTCCCGGCCACTCAGCCCCGAAATAATCACACAGAAACTGTAATCTGTGTATCGCCACGTGACTGTGGCTTACAACCAGCTAAAGTTCTGGTGTCTGTCTCCAGCAGGGCTACATGGCTTCTCTCTGACTCCGCCTTCTCTCTCCCAGCATTCAGCTTAGTTTTCCCTGTCTAGTCTGTTCCCCTATAGCTCTGCTATAGGCCCAAAGCAGTTCCTTTATTTATCAATGGTAATCACAGCATACAGAGGAAAATCCCACATCAACTATCCTCTGCCATATACATGCACACACAGTAATAAGCTGGTCCCCATGATTTTATCCATGTAATCCCAAAACATGGTAGACTGGGGTAGACAGATCTTGAGTTAAAGGCCAGTTCAGGATACATAGGGAAGTCCTGCTTCAGACATAGAATAATAATAATAATTATAATAATAACAAGGAGATGAACTTTCATCCAACACTCAAAAACTGGGCACAGCTGAAATGAATAAATAAAACCATACCACAGAATGTCCCAATTCAGTAAATAAGAGATACTCTGCTTACAAACTGTGTAAGTAGCAGGATAAATTGCTGAAATTGTCATTAGGTCCTATAGAAATGCAAACCTACTGTTGGAAATATCGAATATTAGCAGTGAATATCTTCCCCTGGAGTGGTGACGTGAGAGTGGGATCTCAGATTGTGGGTCTGGGACCGAGGCAGATTTATTATAAGAGCTATAACATCGTAAACAGTCATGAGCATTGCAGAGGTTCTGCAGACAGGCCAGGCTCACAAGGTTAAAGGCTTCAGGGAGAAAAGGCAGTCCCGTGTCACACAGTCATGGGTAGCCCATACCACGTGCTTGCAGTCAAGTGGTCTCAGATACTTGGCAGCAGGATAAGGGGGAAAGATTCGAACCTTGGTAATGTCGGGCCAACATTCAGAATGTGCCACCCATAGCCCCTGATTACTTAGGGTATGGGGTAAGCTACTTTTGGGACAGTGAGAATTATAGACCCACAGATAGTCACAGTAGGATGTCTGCCCTTTATCTATATCAGCTGGGAGGGTAAAGAGAGAGGCTGCAGCAGCTGAATCGTGGCCTGAGCAGCCGTCAACCCAAAGATAGGGTTGGTAATTCTCCAATGTTCTCTTTGACAGACAGTCGACCGGCCGAAGGACTGGTACAAGACAATGTTTAAGCAAATTCACATGGTCCACAAGCCGGGTATGTACGTTCTTCTGTGTTTCGTTTTGTTATTTTCTTTTAATCAAGTGCTTATGAGTTGAAGGATATATACTCAGCTTTATATAGACTTGCCTCACACAAAAACATCAAGACCCCCGCAAACTTGATGGCCCCTTCTTTTCAGCATGTCTCCTAGTCTCCCTTTACCCCTAAATCACAGCTGTGTGCCTCTCCTGAGCCATAAGCTACCCAGAAGCCTCCTTAGAGATGTCCTTGGAGTTCACGAGGTGTTCTAGCCTTAGCCCTCTGTCCATCTCTGTCGACATGCACACTGGGGTGCTGTGCCCTTCTGCTTCTGTCTGCCCAGGCCTGTTTCTCACCAGAAGAGCGAGAGTAGTGGCTTCTCCTGATTACCACTCAGAACCATTGACAAGAGACCTTAAAATACTTTGTGATGCGGCGGACACCGAATCTGCCTTGGGAAGTAGGGACAAGGGACCAGTTCTGTATGTATGACCAGGCCAGAAAGGCACAGTGCTTTTAGACAAGAAGGTCACTCTGTAGATTGAAATGATTGAAAATACAAAGTGCTATTATATGCTAGAAAAAAATATTGATTGCTTTTTTTTTTTTGCTGGTGTGTTTTTGTCATTTCTCTGACCTTCTGCCGTCTTGGCGACAAGGTGGCAGACTCCAGATTATCATGTTTATGTTTCATTTTCTAGATGAGGACACAGACATGTATAATACTCCTTACACATACAACGCAGGTAGGACGGCTCTCCTCGCTGGTGATGACCAGTCACACTCTGCTGTGGGGAAGAGCCCCAGTCCTTCGTCATACCACCCCCACCCCACACTGTCAGTCCCTGTGATGAAGAGGAGGCCTTGCTTCCTTTCTCAGAGCATGCCTAACAAAAGATTGATCCTTTCTCCTGGAAATGAGAACTAACACTGTTTCACATCCATCATCACCTCCCCCCCCCCCGGTCCCCCTTCCCTTCCTCTGGTGGTTTATTCTCAACTTCAGGAAGATTTAACCACACAGTGAAGGGCCAGGGTGAAAGAACAGACTGTGGCCTGGTTACACAACAAAATAAAGATCTTTTTATCAGCAGAAAGGGTGATTATAATTGCGTAAGACCTCGCAGATAGTATTCCTCCAAAACAAGTCAAGCGAAGTGTTTTACGACCATGTCCAGCCTCTTGCTCCAAAGTGGAACCATTCATTGAAAGCCATGAAAGCCTCGCTCTTGGCTGGGCACCTTTTCTGACTCAGAGTCGCCAGCGCTCACAATGAAATGATTTCAGCTCTGGACATTCTGCATGTATCTGAATGTGCTGGCTTCTTGTGGAGTGATCTTTGTGCTCGTGAGAGAGACCCCTCAGTTATGTCCCCTTTCATCAGTTTTTCCTTGTGAAATTCCACCCGACCTAGCCATAGCCCATAAATGAGCCATAGCTCATTTAGGGTCCACTTGTCACCCAAACAGAAAACTCCATGAGACTCCCCACTTCCTAAAACCTGATGACCAGCAGCCAGTCCTTTAACTGAGTGATTCCACTACTCAACAACAAAGATAAATGAGAAAGAAAATTGGAAAAAAAAAAAAGTCATGCTGGTGACTTCTGGTAACCTCTGAGTTAGATTCTGTATCCCTAGCCCCATATTATTTCAGGAAGTCCATTAAAATGGTGTAACATTTTATGTTACGCCAAACTTGCCTCCGCGAGTCACCTCACAGGTTGAAGTGACTGTGGAGGTGACCCCAAAACACTTCAGAGCAGGTGTTGCCCAAAGTCGCTTCTCCCGGAAACAAACACACACAGACCTGTAAGAGGTGTAGTCAAGCATAGACAGACTTAGGCCAAGATTGAGACTCTGAGAAACTCGGAATTTTTATATACTTTTAAATATTGAAATGGGTCCGTCTCACTGGTGATCAATAAGCTGAAGTTCAGTTATGTGACCCTGTAAAGCTCAGGGAGTTTTATCATCCAGTCAGCCAACAAAAACGCCTATAAACCACCTCTAATAACCCAGAGCTTTGTATCTTGCATGCCGTTCCTGCCACCCTCTTCCACCCACCAGAGCCAATCCTTCGAGCCCAACTCTAATCCCAGGAGATCCGTAATGCATTCTCTGCCTCCCTCCTCATCTTCGCACATCCTTCCATTTTCACTATGTCTTTCTCCGTTGGATTTTATTAACTGCCACAAACTCCCTTTAAATCACATGTCTTCTCATATGAGCTTGTTCAGCAGGGCTTTACCCTCCCTTGCCCCACATGGGAGATGCACCTCATGCACATAGCATGTTCTATATTTGTTGGACTGCAATTAACATATCAACTGTCTTATGCGCGTCAGTATTACAAAGTATTAGCTGCTATTTTAATCTTCCTCTGAAAGTTTGACTAAGGTGTCAGTTTCTGTGATTGGGAAGAAACCTTGCGGAGTAGCTGTAAGTTTATTTTTACTAAATAGCCCGAATTTTCATTAATTGTACAATAGCGAATAATTTACTCTAACCAGTACCTATGTGCAAAATAAATTGATATCTAATTAATGAGTGATAATTCATAAATTAAGGTTGATAAGTTAATAAACAATGTACCACCTAATGTCCATATTATGAATATGCTTGTTGATCATTTTTGCAAAACCATTGGCTGTTTTGCAGAGCCTAACAACTCAGTGCACCTTTAAGTCATTTGCTTGTTTTGTTGGCTTTTGTCTTTTTCGTGGCAGGTCTGTACAACTCGCCGTACAGCACTCAGTCACACCCTGCTGCGAAGACCCAGACGTACAAACCCCTTTCCAAGAGCCACTCAGACAACGGCACAGACGGTTTCAAGGAGACGCCCTCCCCAGTGCCTCCCCCGCATGTCCCACCACGACCGAGAGATCAATCTTCAACAGAAAAGTAAGGCTCCTTCCCACTCACATGGCTGCTCTTAGAATAAAAACCAACCCACAGTGGCACTCAGTGAAGCATCAGTCCAGCAGGGTGGAGCGAATATATGCAAAGACTTACTGTCTTCATCCATATTGAGCATCCCTGCTGAGATTTATGCTGGGCCCTTTCTGGAAAGTCTTGGTCACGCTCTCACAATGCTCTGCATTAAACTTGATGTATCAGGGACACGAACTCTATTTTTTGTTCAGTGAGTGCAAATAAGCAATAAAGTGGCCACAGATGCAGTTCATAAGTAACATTTGTCTAACTAAGTACTACAAACAAAATATGTACACACACTATGTTGTAGGCCTTGGATAAGAGGCTCAGTGGTAGTGACTTGTTCCACATACCTTGCTTGCACTCTGAGCTGAAATGGTACATCAATCATATAATCTCAGTCTTTATAAAGATGAGGCAGGAATTCAAGGCCACCCTGAGCTGCATAACTTCCAAGCTACACACTGGCATTATGTCTCAAAATAAACCGATATAAAATTACATAAAATAACTGGAAACAGTTGGCATGGATTCCCCTTGCAGCCCCACTAAGAGACTAAGCAGTTAAATTTTTCCTTTTCACAGATTTGAAATTGCAGGTCTTTTACGATATCTATTAGAAGCCAAGAGAAATTATTCTTAAATCATAAATAAGGCATGTTTAACAAGTGTCTGTGATTCATTTCCACCAGTTATTTTAACTGCTTCTAATTTTCATCTCTCCACTGAAACAGTTTTAAATAAGCTAGTCACACCCAAATAACTTTTTAGGAACACATTTCAACTGTGTTGTGTTAGTCAGACTGTTGCTAATCGTCCCGGTTCGTGGTCATCTTTACTGATGCTGGTTATGAGGCAAGCATCAGACTAAACACTGTCCTTCCCTTACCTCATTTTGTTCTTATGAGAACCCAATGGGATATGTGCTCCATTACAGAGAAAGGAGCTGGCTAGACTATTACAATAACTTGCTTTACTTGTATTGACAAAAAGTCCAAGCTAAGATTCAACCTCGACTTCCCCTAAAGACAAATTTTATGTTACCTCTACTGGTAATCAGTAAGTAGGAATGGAAAGGGCATTTATTATATTACTGGTTTTTTTTTTTTTTAGTATTTTCTATGTCTTGGCTATTGTTCTGTTTCCCAGACAGCAAACAGGACACGGTTTCATACGGATATGAAAACTAAAATGGAAGGTGAAAGAGCTCTCTGTGGACAGAGCTCATTGATTGCCTCTACACCTAGGATTTGGTCCTCATTTTCCTCTCATAGAGCACTTCTATGTCCACCATTCCATGGAGAAAGAATATCATTCCATTCCATAGGAATCGGAATATCCCAACTCAAAATATCAAACACTCCTTTTCTCAAACAAAAGTAAAAAGTACCTTTTTAATAATCCTTCCTGCTCTCTGAAGGAAGTTTTCTGATTTAGTTCTAGCTGCCCAGAAAAGCTTGCTATCATGAGCCCTTCTCTGAAAATGTACTTCCCAGGAGCCCTTGACAGACCCTCAACGGGGTCAATGCCAGGAACAGATTAGTTCCCAGAGAGAGAAACATTGGCCTCCAGTGTTGCAAGGCTCACGCCAAGGGGTCTCCCACACCACTCTGCCTAGCCCTGTGTATGCCAGCCCAAGTGATGCTGTTGGAATTCTCACGTGTGCGCTCAGATGCCATTTACAAGAATAAGATCAAACAATGTATGTCCATTAGTCCTTGTCCCTCTGGATCAAGGAAGCCAGGTCACTAGGTAATTAAACTGACAAAGATTCACAGAGCACAATTGACACTTATTTTAAACTCGGATGCACACCGCTGTCATTAGGGACCCGAGGGTCTAGCAACAAGTCACTATCCATGTGCCACCTCTTCTGTGAGTTTTTACAGCCATAGTCACACAGGTAAAAGCAGAAGGAAAAGTGAGCTAAAAGGGATAGCTTGATGTAAGTCATTTATTTATTAAACATATTTATGTTTGATGTAAGTCATTTACTTATTAAACATATTTTTAGTGTTAAGCAATTTTTAGCCAGAGAGACTTTTTTTGGTTTTATGGGTTTTATTTTTTCATTGTTTTCATCTCTCAGGGTAGGAGAGATGGCTCATCAAGGAAACTACTTGTTACCTAAGCCTGAAGATCTACATTCGATCCCCAGAACTTGTGGTGGAAAGAAAGCCTTGACTCCCCAAAAGTGCTGACTCCCAAAAGTTTTTTTCTATGTGTGTGCACATACATGCAAATGGCTACACACACACACACACACACACACACACACACACACAATTAATCAATCAATCACCTCTGCTAAAATTAGCATTGGGAATTGACTATGGATGGTACGTCATGGGTGCTTCATGCACACAAATTGTCTCAACATGTGGTTTGCTGTCCATTTACAGGCATGACTGGGACCCTCCAGACAGAAAGGTGGACACCAGAAAATTCCGATCGGAGCCAAGGAGCATTTTTGAATATGAACCTGGGAAGTCATCCATTCTGCAGCATGAAAGACCCGTAAGCAATTGTCATTGGTCAAAAAAGCCAGCTCGCTAGGCCTCCATAGTCCTCAAGTGAACCTGAATTTCACCCCATTTTATTTGTTATTGAGGAATCATCATGATTTGTGTATCTCATCTGAATTGAAAGAGGCACTTTAATAGTATATATATATATATATATATATATATATATATATATATACAGAGCTCATCATTAGCATACAGCGAGCTGTGCCCAATCACAGCACTTTTACATGAAACACTTAATTGCTATTCTAGCTTGCCTGAGAGAAAAATCACGAATCCATAATCCTGATATACAGACCAAGGCCCATAAATCCCTTGACTTCTATGTTAGTTTCTTACCATTTCTTTCACTTAAGAGGAAAATTTTCCAAGCACACTTTCTATAACAAGATGTTAATTGGTTCTTTATTAAATCCCTCTTAGGTTACCAAGCCTCAAGCTTTCTGATTTATTACCACTTTTAATGGATCAAGATTGTATTTCTCTTTATAGTCTTTGTGTTTATTTTGGACATATACGAACCTAAACGATGTATGGACTTGAAAGCGACCACTTCTCTCCACTAAAGCTAACAGCAGCTTCTTCCATGGCCCTTTTCTCTTGGGTCCTCTGGCCCATTATTTTGCTTCCCTTGATTCTCCCCCAGATGTCAGTGTCCCCAAGACCTCTTTAAAATCCAGCAATTCCTCTGATGTCCAGATTAACCCTGTTGTGTTTCCATAGTGTTCCTCCAACAGTCCAGAGCATCACACCAGTCCATAGATGTCAAGGTCAACCCCAAGATCTAGCTGAACAGCCTGTGACCTCACCACACCCAACACGAGTGTCTCTGACTTAAGAGTTTGAAACCCTGCATTTGTGGTTGTGTTCTTGAGAACTATGTTCAAAGATTTTCCAGTCATAAAGTTCAACTGCCTTTCTTCAAATAATTCAAATTTCTTTGAATGATAAGATTGCAACAGAGGAACGGAAAAGAGGGAAACATTATTGATTCTGTGCTCTGGACTATAACCCGCTCACTAAGTTGTCTGATTAAATAGCAAGACAGTGAAATTTCCAAACCAAAATTCAATGGAACACACTACTAATTCTGAAAGAGAAAGTCACAAAATAATGAATCTCAAATTATAACAGAGAAGCTTTAGTGACTCATGAGGCTCTCAGGGTGACGATGCGACTGAAGGAAATTTTGATGGCTAAAACAAAAGCACATCTAAAGAATGTACCCCATTAGAGCTCATTTACGGGTCCCCTTGTTGTGGCTAAAGTTTCTACAGACCTTTGGGACAAAGCTTTGGAGGCTCTTTGTTTTAAAGTACCAAAAACACAGATAGTAATAAGAGTCTCTGTAAGTGGGTACCTGCTACATGACTGGCTCTATAAGTAGTAATAATTCTTTTATATTTCATGCAGTGTTCCCAACAACCCTATAAAGCAGATGTGCAAACTTCCTGTTCTACAGATCAAGGGTCTGAAGCAGCTTTAAGTGAATGCCACATGGCCACATAGCGAGCATGTGCTGGAACCAGTTCAACCTAGGCAAGCTTTGGTTTGATGTACTTCATCACCATGTACTGGTTCCTCCAAGCAGGATACCATCAGCTAACAGTCGCCATCACCATAATTTGGTTGTTTTGGAATATAGTATAATTAGTGGCTAACTATAATAAGTTGGTGGTGATTACCATCCTTTATGAGAAAGCTGGGTTCAGAGTAACTATCATGCGAGCCCAGGATTCTTAACTGGTCTGAGGAAGTGGGGATATGCTATGGATAAATATGCTATGGATAAATCTCCTCAGCTACAGGAAAAGAGGAGTGGAAGCAGCTAGAAGCTTGGAAAGAAATAAGGATGGAAGACTTCCATTCTTCCCCCTCCTAAGCCATCTTGTTGGAAGCCAGTCTTGACAAATGATAGGAGTGAGGCAAAGATATAATTTGGGCAAGCCTTGTAAAATTATCGTCTTTATAGGGGGAGACCTTCTTAAAATATCAACCCTGAATTCAACCCACTTTAAATTTTAAAACAAACGGCAAATTAAACAAGGGTATTTGAGAGACCAGCTAAGTGTCCTGAAGGCTCAGACTGTAATGGAAAGAGAGTGGTCTTGCTAGGCAGAAGTGACAGAACACGAAATGGATTTCAAGGTCGTAAGAACGCATCTTCTGTTGTTTTACTCAGAGGGACTTTGAGGGCTCCCCTTTTGTAGTAGGACGAGCGGTGCCAAAGTAGTCTCTTTATTCAACCAATGAAAGCAACATCCTACACTACCCTTTGCTCTTTTCAGTGCTAATTTTTGAAAATCATATGAACAGCTAGGCAATTCTGTGCTGTTCTCTTCAGTTCCCAGAGAATCCCGTCAGAGTCCCTATCTTCTTGGATCCCCCTCACTCTCTATGAACTAACATTCATACTCACAGGAGGAAATATCATGGCCACATATCCCTTCTGGTCCACCACTGTCTGCTGTCTGTATTGCCACCATGCATCCATCCCCGTGATTAGTACAGCTGGTCTCCAGATAATTTTTAAGAAGCCTACCAGTTGCAAATTTTCTCCTCACTCTCTCTTGTCCCTGGAGCAAAATCTATCCCTTGATATAACTTTAAAAAACTAAAGAACAACAACAAATAAATCCTACCAAAATCATGTGGTTTCGCTCCCTGCCAGCCACACAAAGGGCTTTCAGTCCCCTCTCATCAGACCTTAACACGGTCTGGGTTTTTTTTTCTTCCAGAGAAGCACTCTCTCTCTCTCTCTCTCTCTCTCTCTCTCTCTCTCTCTCTCTCTCTGGAAAGCTTTACACATACAACACACCAAGGCTTACCGGAGGTACACTTTCCTTAGGGCCTTGTTGACCCTCAGCGGTGGGTTTGTAGCTTTGTAGCTCTCCTTGCTGGATTCCCCCAGGATAACCCACTTTGACATCCTTACCACATGCCTGTTCACACTCTGGGCTCCTCACTGTATCCTTTAAGTTCCTTGACAGCAGGATCTTGTCTGACACCACATTTGTCTACCCTCCATGCTTTGCCCAATGCCTAGCTTGTGGCACCTATGCAGTAAATACCTCCTTGAGTGACTGAGGGAATGTGAACTCATGTTACCTTTGCAGCTGGTGGGTAAAACTGGTGAGAGATGGAGCCTTGCTATGAGGCCCAGTGAGTCTCCATCAAGAAGCAGACGGAATTCTCCGATAACTCTAGCTCAGCTTCTCTGATTCCTTGAGGCATGAAGAAAGCAAAGTGAACATGTCTGCCCAAACAGCAATCTTCAAATCCTGACAAAAAAAAAAGAAAAAAGATTGCATTAACCCTTAGGAATTGAGGACACATTTTAGGGATTGAGGGCATATCTGTCTATTAATAGGCTTTAGCAGGAAGGCAAAGCATAAATGCTTTTCTTTGAAGCTCATAAGTTCAATAATCAAATAATCATAATCATGAATAATGAAATATCTATTTGGTTATAAATTTCAATGCAGAATAAATAGGCCTAATAATATCTGACCCTTATAAAGGCCTTGCAATTTGTGAAGACAAATCCAAAAATTTGTCTTTAACTGACTTGATCCGCAGATCCAACTACATTTCCAGTATACAGATGACATATGACAATCATACAATAAATATTAATATTAATCTAATATTAATATAAGCATTACAGATCATCTGAATTGGATATGCTTGTAGATGAACCATGTTAATTGTTTTTATGCTTAATAAAATGAAAAGAACCCACAAAGACATTGTTACCTTTCCTACAATAGCTGTGCTTACATATAATACTAGCAGAAAGGGACGCACATTGGATGAGTTGAAGTGCAACGTAAACCACTGGTGAATAATTAGTACCCGAGAATTAAAGCACAAGAATTTGAGAAGTTTTATCTGACCGTTTGACTCATTGTGCAATAGTATTTGCTATGAAAACAAAATAAATAGATAGCATAGCAACACATGCCTTGAAGCTTAGGAGCCACTGAGCAAGAACAAACTCTGGGTTCTCCGGTGTGTTTAGGATAAGTAGAGTGAGGACAGCCTTCTCATTGAGAAGGCTGAGAGCAGAAGGGTGTCTCTGACCTCGAAAGCGCGCAAAGGCTTTTAAGCTGGGAAAACATTAAATTAAATTGCCCATTCTAGGGAGCCTTTTAAGAACAGTCACGTGTAAGCTCTGGTTTTAGTGTGTCTAAGCACTTCATGTTAAGCAGAAGGTTGTCAGGTCTGTAAAACTGACAGAAATAAAACAAGATGTCCATCAGCTCTCTTCTGCCAATGTGAGAATCATTGGGGAGGTAACTGTCATCGAGTGAATTCCTTAAGTGTCCATATTTGCAGGGGACAAAGAGGGAAATGATGGAGTAGTGGCTTTGCTAGTATGCATATGCTTCGGTTATCCGACTATCTTCATCTGTGTCCGTGACTGTGGTTTTCAGTGTAGCTCCAGATTGCCGCAGAACACATCTGATGATAACCAAAGGGACTTGATAAAGGTCAGCCTCAGCAAAGAGACAATTCTAGGCCAGGCATGTCCTTTTTTTGTACGATTAGGGGAATCTATTTGTTGAGGTTTATTTTGCTGAAGTTTTTGCCTTATGCTCTTTGGAGACAAGATCTTGCTATGTAGCCCAGGCCGATTTCCAACTCACCATCCTCTTGCCCCTGCCTCCTGAGTGCTTGCGATGGCTGGTGTGAGCTGCCACACCCAGCCTGTAAAACACAGGCACTACTCAGATGTGTACTGGGCACACATTCTAGAACTGCAGAGGATGACGTGTCACTGTTTGCACAAATTCTAGCAAGTTGCTCACTGTGACTATAGATAGAAGCTTTGTTAAATAGCGGGATTTAAAAATATTTATATAAATGTATAGTTATAAATAAATAACAGGCAATTGCTATTTTGAGGTTTGTAGCAGAATGATACTCCCTTTCCCAGAATCTGTTATAGAAGTACATCTCTACAAAGGAGAATGTAGTCTATCCATTTGTCCAAGTGGAGGTGAAGCTAAGTTTGCTTTCCTATTTATTTAGTAGATTTGCTGCCCCCTACCGTTCACAGTGCTTTGAAGCCAGACCCCCCTCCCCAGCCCAGCTGCCCCTAGCCAAATAAAACACTGAAGTTGACAACCAACCAGCCAAGGTGTTCAAATCGAGAGCTAGTACACAGCAGTAGAACTAAGGCACTTGGGGGGATGAGAGGTCTCTTTCCTGCGAAGGAAATGGTACACCTCTCGGAACAGCACAAAGTTCCTGGTGAATTCTCTCGAACGTTAGCTGTTCAAAGATAAAGGCTCCAGCAAAGCTATGTCAAGAAGTAATTACACAATACAGTTGACATCTTCTAAATAATTGAAGAAAAGTAACGCTTTATCTCTAACAAAACCTTAGCAATCGTAACTACTGGATCAAAATTTTAATTCAATGGAAAACAGTTACTGCAAATTCTTTTTTTTTTCTTAATTCAATGGGAATAGGTTACTGGAAGATGTTCTTTCTACAGACCGCTCAGTTAACTTTGAAGTGGAAACCAAAAGTAATATCGACACAAATTGGAGTAAATATCTCAAGAATTTCTGCAGCATTTTCTCATTCTAATAGAATAGCCTCTTCAATTGTTATTTATGGAAACATAACCTCATAACTAAAAGTAAAATCATATTAAAAAGGCAGTTTCTGTTCCCAACTGACAATGGAATATTTTGTGTACGTAATCCTTCGCGTGCCCATCCAGATTTCCACTTAGGGATGCCATCAACCACTGCACACAAGTGCTATAATGGAGTGTTAATCGCTCAGCATCAGTCCCAAGCATACCCCAGCGTTGCTCTCAGTCTTTATATTCGCTACCCTACCACTATATACAAGGCAAAAGCTTGGCCTCTGCGCTGTTCTGTTATGATGCCTCAAACTCTTCTATCATTAATGGGGTTGGAGTAGTGGGTGTTTAGCAGCCCTCCTGGATGGTTGTGTGGGCATCAGAGCTTTTCTCTGGGCTGGAGTGAATGGCTTTTAGGGAACCAAAGAAACTTTTTAGACTTAATATATTGTGCTATACAACTATACACATTTAATTAGGGAAGTGAGATCTACCTAAGAAGTAGCTATGCACATATATGGTGCTTCAAGTGTGATTTTATTAATAAAAAAAAAACAGCATGATACCAGCTAGTCGGGTATGTATTATTAAAAGCATTAAGGGTATTACTGGGTTAAGGAGAGGCTGGATGTCTGTATTCTATTGCTAAAATAATTGTATCTGTTTATTATCAATGTTTGTGTTAACACCCCTAGCTTTTCTGTCTTCAACACAGCATTCATAAACCATCTGAGACGCCAGTCAGTTATACCCTGTACCCTACACCTCTCCTTCCCTCCCTACTGTGAAAAGCCCGATTCTACCCAAACCCTCCTTTAGCTTCAAGTCAGCATGAGGAAACTAAATCACAAAATGGGATCTTTCTTCACTTTTGGGGAGACTTGTGAAGTTGAGATCTTCGCTGTGGTGGGCCGTTCTTAAGGAATCTGCCCAGCCGTAGCCTCCTCCTGAATGTCCGTCTCCAGGACTAATGCCAGCTGAGCTGGTGTCCTCCAGGTTCCATCAAGAGCCCCTGTCTAACGAACCAGTATTTCCTCACCCCTTTCTCTTACAGCCCCCTGTCCCACCAACTCCGACACCTGTTCCCAGGGAACCCAGCCGGAAGCCTCTCTCTGTGTCACCCTCAACAGATGGCCTGCGTAGCCCTTCCCCTCCACCCCGGAGCTGTGTCCCTGCACCCCGTCAGAGTCCGAGCGCCCCAGCTCCCTCTCCCACCCGGGTGAGCTCCTTCCTTCTTCACCTTCTCTCATGCTGTGGGGAAGCAGAGCTCAGCCTGTTTTCCGAGGCTAAGGCATGGTCAGATCCTGTCTCTGCTGGGGTTCTTCCCGCTCCTAGACCCCTCCCTCCCTTCCTCCCAGGAACCCTCATCTCCACCATTCCATGTTCCTAGCTCGCCCCATCTGCAATGTCTGCATAACCGCAGACCACTGCTGCCATTGCTAGCTGCCAGTGACTTCAGGGACAGCAGACTGACCAATCAGGAGAGCCCCCTTGCTACCTCCTTTGGTCCTATCTTCACAGTCTAGCGTGCCACCCTTCCCTGTTGTCACCGCCGGGATACTTTCCCTAGTACATGTATTAGGCCAAAGAATTAGCGCTGGCGGCGATAGGGACCCCAGCAATGCCATGGACCCTCATTTTCATGTCCTCATTTTGCTCATGGTACCTTACTTTCTCCATTCTGTCCTGGATGAGTCGGATGCATGCTTGCGTGTGGATGCGCGTGCGTTCTCGTACCCCACGGCGTTTTCCCTCACTTCGCTCAGTGTGCCTTTTCCTTCCCTTTTCCTTCACATCTGCTCTAGACTGGTCGCATAAATCCAGATGACATAGACTTAGAAAATGAACCCTGGTATAAATTCTTTTCAGAACTGGAGTTTGGACGCCCGGTAAGTGAGGCTAGACAATTGCTATAAGACAAATAGGAGGATGTTGTTTGATCTCTAAAGCTTGTTCTTATTCTTGGGAGACGTGTCATGTCTAGAACAAAAGCTGGGTGAATAAAATATGTGTGCTCCAGCTTTGTGCAAATTCGCTTTTGTACCAAATGCCTAAATGTGTCCATTCGCTTCCCATATGTTTTCTCCTAATTGTGCATTACAATCACATCTAATTAATTGCAAATCTATCATGTTGAGGTAGTTGAGGGGAGCGCTGCATTGTGCCCAGCACATTTTGGTCTAGATTAACAGTCAGAAGGACCTTGCCATCTACAAGAATAACTGTTACTACAGTTCTTGTTTGCAAGCTACCACAGAGCACGTGGCTCCCAAGTCAATAACTTCAATCTTCCTGATACAACTCCAACAATAAGAAAATGGACCAGAAAGGTCAGAGACTTTGCCCCAAATAGTCAGAAATTAAATGTCATACAACAATAAAAAAAATCTCTGGGCAGTTCCCACTATAATGTATTACCAGAATATATATTCCCACTATAAAATGATTCTTTGAATAGAAGAGATGTGGCAAAGGGAAAGAATTCAAAGCCCTGTGGACTTTGGTTCAGGTTTTGCTCATGAGCCACCAACACGCCTCTGATCAGCAGAGTCACATGTTGGAAGGCCACCGTTTGGCCCTCATGCGCTCTGAGTGAGCCATTTGGGGCAGGTTTCACATAGCTCCCTTTAACCACCCAGTCTCTATTGAAACATTGTTTGTGGGTTTTGTGTTCTCCGCCACATGCCTTTTTACAAGCTCTAGCCTGTTGAATAATATGTAACTTGCAGTGCCCAGCAATTTTATAAGAACTCAGAATGTGTTCTTTCTCCCTGTCACATAAGGATTTATAAATATGCCAATCACATATTCCTTACTGGATGGCTGAGAGAGCCTTCTTTATACTTTAAAGTGCAATCTTGGTTGGCCTCATTGTATGTCTTATTGAACTAAATTGAATGTGACTGTAAATGAATATTAAACAAAATTTCCTGGCATTTCTATTACCTAATGAGAGGACTGTTTCCTCCCGTTTTTTCCTGGTGACTCCTCTTATTAAAATATATTTTGTTTCGTTGGGGAAACGCTCTCTTGTTTTGCTTTATGCCTCTGTTATTTTGGGGTAGAGTTTCCAGAAACTATACCGATTCCTGGGTTGAGCCTGAATTACCAGCACTTTCTGCAAACCTCAGCCACACAAGGACGCCCACCTGCATGCTCTCCCCTTACGCCTCTGGTGTTTCCTTAATACCCCTTGCAATCCGCTGGAGCCAAAGACCTGGAGTGCTCATTTGGATCTGACGAATTCAGTCTCCAAATTTACTCACCGAGCGCACGTAGCTTTTCGCAGTGCCTGGGAATATTGGCAGACACGCACTCCTCCTCCTCGGCTGGCATCTTGCTACATCCATGTCACTCTTTGTGTGTATCTGATGCTGTCAGCACTCGGTTTTCTAACTGTTGTCACCTTCTCCACATGTTCGTTACTTGCTGCCATTGACTCTCCTCCATCCCATCTCTCCACCTCTGCTTCTGTGGTGCGCCTACACCCAGCCTCCTAAAAAGGCTCTGGATTATGTTCAAGATCATTCTTCCGGTGTTCCCAATGAGGTAAAGACAAATTCTTCTCTCCTTCCAGATCCCCCCTCCTTCGTTACTGTCAGTCTGAACACGCGTGTTTTTAATAGTCCCCTGTATTGTTTGAGCTGGTTTTGAAAACTCTTGGTATAGCTGCATTGGGTGCAGTAGCATTACCTAGACAGTGCAAATGGGGTCGACTATTTCTGAATTCCAGGTGATGAGTGTTTCTAGCTGTGATTTCCAGTTAAAATATCAGCAGCAGCAAAAAAAAAAAAAAAAAAAAACCTAACTCCTTAACTTGAGCAGGTATTGACGCCCATTTTCACACACTGAGAAGAGTACTACTGAAAGGCTTCTAGAAGGCAGTTTTCCATTGTGTTTAGAAGTGCAGACTCAAGACTCGAGGTTCTCAGGCTATGGATTTGCGGTGAAGGCCCAGGGCCAGTCTTCCACCCTGGAACCCACCCACTGTACATGAAGAGAGCGTGCCCTCTGGTGCTCTGTCAAGTGTGCTGCGTCCACACAGAAAGAACGGTTTTCTAAACAAAGTTTTGTTTCTTACATAATCAGCCCCTTATTCACTATAGTTTTCGAAATGTTGCTAATCTTTCATTTGCTAAATGTTTATAACCTGTGAATGTTGCCATCAGTTAAGAATAAAGATGATAAAGCTGGGTGGTGGTGGCACACGCCTTTAATCCCAGCACTTGGAAGGTAGAGGCAGGAGGATCTCTGAGTTCTAGGCCAGCCTGGTCTACAGAGGGAGTTCCAGGACAGGCTCTAAAACTACACAGAGAAACCCTGTCTCGAAAAATAAAAACAAGCAAACAAACAAATAAATAAAGATGACGAGCACCTGGCCTATGTGGTCCAGTTTCCCAGTTCCGCAGCTTTGGCAGGCATCACTGACTCTTGATGATGTAGTTCAGGCAGCCACTACAGCAGACACTGCACCGCCCTATGCGATAAGACTTAGTTGTAATCTCTGCTGGAGAACGCTTATGGGTAGGGCTGGAGAGATGACCCTGTGGTTTAAAGAGCACTTGCTGCTCTTGCAGAGGACCTGGCTTGGGTTCCCAGCACCCATAGGGCAGCTCAAAACCATCCACAACTCCATTTGCAACACCCTCTTCTGGCCTCCACCAGCACCAGGCATACACACGGTTCACAGGCATGCCGGAAGGTGAAACACTCATAAACTAACAATAAGTGGCTCTGCTTAAAAAAAATAGTAATAATTGCTTATGAAAATCGGCCAATCAGCAGGTGAAGAACTTATATCAAGCCACATAAATTTTAAACTGGTTAATGAAAAGATGGTATGAAAAGGAACAGAAAGGGTCCTAAGGCAAACTTTGTACTCCAAAAGAAACCAGAAGGTTATTTTGCAAAACACTTAGAAGACACAAGCAGATACATCATTGTTATGTTAGCTATCAGGCAGATAAAAGCCTCCAGTGGCCACTCTGAAGTAGCCAGGCAGTATAGAAGCACACAGAATCTGATTTTGTCAGAGAAGATACTTTTGTTGTTGTTTTTTGAGACAGGGCAGGGATGCTCTTTCTAGTCCTGATTGTCTTGGAACTCCCATTATAGATCAGGCTGACTTGGAACTCAGAGATCCTCCTGCCTCTGCCTCCTAAGTGCTGGGATCAAAGGCGTGCACACCACCACCTGGCTCCATTTGTTTGTTGTTGTGTTGTGTTGTTGTTTGTTCGGTGTGATTCTGATGTGTTTAGATAAATGAATCAACATTTTTTGAAATTTTTTGGAATTTTTTTTCAAAGCGGTTGACTTGATGATTTTGAAATAGAACTTAGAAAACATCACATTTAACTCGTTGGCTTTCTAGTGAGGAAAAGCAGAATGGATTAACCGCAAAGGATAGATCTGACGTAACCTGCTAAGATGACTGCCAAGAGAATAAATTACTAATTGCTTAGCCTTCGTTTCAAAACTATTTCCTTTATGCTCTGCTTTTTGCCATCCCCAATAGAGCTTGGCTCTACTAAAAACTATTTTTTTAATTATTGAATTTGTGTAAAATGGGTTTCTAGGAATTAACACTGCACAATAGTTACTGAGCACAGAGATGAGAAATTTTAATTTAATGCACTTTTTATGTGATGGTGGTGGCCAAATTACTGCACAGAAAAGCAGTCTGATAGCAGCAGAACTATGTGTCCTTACCTTTTGGGGTCTGAGAGACATGAGTGACTTTAATAGCATGGTTTACTAGGGTGTTAATTTAAAACATGGCCGGTCAGAGTGTAAGAAAATATACTTCCATAAGATATTTTGATTCTGTTTTTAATAACTTTTATATGACATTTCTAGTAAGAAAAACTGCAGATATTTGATAATACCTAAGCTATCACTGATCAAGTACCTGGTTTTATCAAGCGTATGTTACAAATGACATTTTTTTAAATCACATGTAACTACGACATTTGTTTGCAAATGTCAGAATGAAGCCTTTACTTTGCAAATTTGAAACAGGTTTTTAAAAAAGAATAGTCAAGAACTTGTTTGCAAAGTTTAATCAATAATTTCTTATCAGAAAGAATGATTTAATGTCTGCCTGCCCTTGAAATTACCTTCTAATGTGTTCAAGTAGTGATCAGATGCAAATGCCGAGCATTTGTTTGGTAAAATGGACTAGTTCTTTTCTTGGGGCTCATTTTTCCATATTATACAAGGTTCTGCATTAATAATCTCAATTTTTATTATTACCTTGTAATTGACAGCTGAAGTTTCTCTTATGATACATAAAATCAAAGCATTTTTTTTAGGCTACCAAGATAACCTGAGTTTTATCCCAGAATCCATATGGTGTAAGGAGAGAATTGGTTTCCTCATGTTCTGACCCACCCCCACACACACCCCACATACACGCTAAATGCTCTTAAAATCTTTACACTTGTTTTAACGTGTGTGGACTATGGAGAAACAGAGTAAGGAAGAGTGGTTGAGCTCTGTCTTAACTCAGAAACACACTATCAGTTCTCACACAATGTTTTATTTCATATTGCAGTGTTAGCCAGGCTGACTGTAACTGGGGCTTCATATTTCTGATCTTATCAGGAATATTCTAAGAGCATCCTGAATTTGACCCTGTGAGGTCAGCTATGTGTCAGGCTGTCCCAGGAGGCCCATGGCCCACAGATGGTGGCCCTCTGGGGCCCTCAGCACTTCTGCAAGCATGTGGAGTTCTGCAATAGCATTTCACTGCCTCCTTTTCTTCCTTACTTTGTTTTCCTTACTTTCTAGTATCCAATTTAGACAAATTCAAATAATTATTTAAACTTACCGACATAGCAGAGCGATTTTCTACTCTCATGTTTGTTGAGAACATAGGAATCTACAAATTTCCTAAGTAGTAAAAATATTAAATATGCTTTTCCCATCCAAAATGAGGAAGAAATGTTTTTATGCCAAAAGATCCTTTGTTTTAATATGGTTAAAATTCCATTCTTAATCAGTAATATGAAATTAAAGCAAAATATTATGCATGAGGCTTGTCAGGCTGATCTACAAAAGAACCATAAAGTTATAATCTAGTGTTTTAATTGGGAAACTGATAGTATTACCAGTTAATCAAAAAGAATATTAGAAATCATTTATAAAGTGAGTTAGTCATTTAATCGAAGTAGCTTTTTAATATTCTGATAAAAAAAATTTCTCTATAGGAATTTAAGATAAAATTATTCAACTCTTGCCTTTATGGTTGACAGTTTTAGGCCTTCAGATAAACATTTTCAAAATATAATTTCCATTTTCAACAAACCACAGTTCATCTGTGATGATGAATTGAGCACTAAGCATGACCAAAGTCAAAAGTGTATTCAGCGGAAAGAGGTTTGCTATGAGTGTAGAGACCACCACACGGCTCCTTCCACCTTGCAATGTCCCCTCAGAAACGTAACACCAACTCTCTCTCGTAACCTAGATATTTCAGCAAGCATCTCAGAAACAGCCACGTACAATGAAAACTTCCTACCTCCTGCTTTTGTGCGGTATCAGTTTTACTGTGCTGTTCAGATTGAGATGAGTAAAGCGCACCATCTAAAGGCGTGTATCTTGGGTATCTTGGTTCATCCGGTCATTTATCTGAAACTAATTCCAAACTCAAATTGCTCAAGATGTATAAATCGGTACCTGGCTTAAGTCCCAGGGAATTTAAGTTAATCTCCAATCAAATTCTGTGCATTGCATTTTATGAAAATAGTAGGTGTGTTTATATAAGAAAGACCTTCAATGCTTTATTTTCAAGATACCAACTGGCAATAACAATGAAATTATAAAAAACTTTATAAGGATTTAGTGAAGACTGCAAATATTTTCCTACAAATAAAGTCAGTCCTTCATAGAGGAAGCTCCTGTTTATCTCAGCAGTTGTTACAAGCCTGAAGTTAATGCCAAAGATACATTTAACCCTTTCGTTCAGTTCAGTTCCTGACGATAATGTTACTGGGCTTTTTGTCTGTTTTTCTTCTTTTTCCTGATGAAATGAATGTCTTGATTGTGCAAACACCACAGAATGCAGTGTAGTTTGTAAAAATGGAACACAAGGACATGTTATCTTTTTGGAAAGACATTTTTGTAACCACAATAAGTGATTCTTTCGATCACAATATTTAGACTCTAAATCTTAAAGTATTCTTTTTAGAATGCAAAACTCAGTGGTGACAAATAAATGGAATTTGCTATGGTAATTATTTTCATGAGACTGCTCTTCTGTCTTCACAGGCCTCCATCTATCAGCCCTCCATTGACAGAAGCCTAGAAAGACCCAGCAGGTAAGGATCTTACGACATCACAGGAACAAAATATTCAATGCCAGCGCTTGCTTCCCCTGTAGTAATCTTCCTTAGTGAAATACTGACGAAGATCATGTAATTCTTTCTCTTTCTTATTTTAAAAACCAGACCTCATGTTTGATTTCTGGGTTTGCATATCACTTTATAAGGTCTCACCCAAGAATTTGCTAAAACTCAACAATGTAACTCTGGCTTCCTTCACAGGGGTCAGTTCTTCCCACTGTGGCCTTTGCTTCCTGTGTCCTCTTTTGTTCAGAAACATTTTGTAAAAAAATGACTGGTACTTGTGAATTATACTTTGATCACGCAGATATTTTCACTACATCTCAAAACATCCCAAGTCCACAAACATATTCAAGCCATTGATGACTCCATGAGTTGAAGACACGAACTCTTCAGCTCAGCAACTGACAGAGTTCAGAAAGGAAGGGGGGAGAACAGACTGAAACAGGCTAACTTGTCGCCTCTAGTCATCACTGTCCTCTGAGCCAACCAATCTGAGCTCCATTCATAGGTTTTAAATATCAGACCTAAATGAAACTATCACCAAAATTCAGATGGAGTTCAATGGCAAGTCATATTGCAGATTCACAGTCATAGTGTACCATCAACAGTCAGTTCTGTAATGGTGCTCTGTCTTTCTACAGGTTCGTGTCAACCTAAGTAAAACCTTTTGTGACTTAGGTTCAGTATAAATTGGGATTGTGAGCACTTCCCAACTACACTGACATCACAAAGAAAGGCATCCTCACCCCCTCTATCATCGTATTTTTACATCTATGTGTGCCTCTAAAGTGTTTGAAATGCTTAAATTTTAGAACTTTAGTCTGACCCAAAGATTGCTATGAACCACACACAGGAAGACAGAAATAGAAAACCAAGTCCAGATGATGAGACAGCCTCGTTAAGGGAAGAGAGATCAGTTCTGAAGGCTAGGTGTCTCTATTTCCACACTTCTAGGCATGGGTGTCCAATCTGCTCATTTGTAGACACCTGATAACTCATAATACCACACAGAATCAGATGAAATGCAGGCAGCAGATGGCATAGGAGCTATACCCAGTGTCATCACAGTTGCTTACATGACAACAGGGACTTGAAGGATGGTATATAGCATGTATCCAATTATTTACAAATGTTTTCTTTTTTTTATATAATTTTTTTTATTAAGAAGAAAAAAAACATAAACAAAAAACAAGTTTCCACCTCCTCCCAGCCTCCCATTTCCCTCCCCCTCCTCCCACCCTTCTCCCCCTCCTCCCACCCTTCTCCCCCTCCCCCCACTCCTCTCCCCCTCCCTCTCCAGTCCACAGAGCAGTCCGGGTTCCCTGCCCTGTGGTAAGTCCTAGGTCCTCCCCCCTCCGTCCATATCTAGGAAGGTGAACATCCAAACTGGCTAGGCTTCCACAAAGCCAGCACATTAAGTAGGATCAAAACCCCGTGCCATTGTCCTTGGCGTCTCATCAGCCCTCATTGTTCGCCATGTTCAGAGAGTCCGGTTTTATCCCATGCTTTTTCGGTCACAGTCCAGCTGGCCTTGGTGAGCTCCCAGTAGATCAGCTCCACTGTCTCAGTGGGTGGGTGCACGCCTCGTGGTCCCGACTTCTTTGCTCATGTTCTCCCTCCTTCTGCTCCTCATTGGGACCTTGGGAGTTCAGTCCAGTGCTCATGTGTGGGTCTCTGTCTCTATCTCTATCCATCTCCAGATGAAGGTTCTATGATGATATGCAAGATATTCGTCAGTATTGCTCTAGGATAGGGTCATTTCAGGTTCCCAATCCTCAGCTGCCCAAGGAACTAACTGGGAACCTCATGTTGGGCACTTGGGAGCCCCTCTAGGGTCAAATCTCTTGCTCACCCTAAAGTGGTTCCCTTAACTAAGAATTGTGGTTCCGTGCTCCCCTATCCACCTTTCCTTTATCCCAATTCTCCTGATTCCCCAAGTCCCCCCTCCTTCCCTTCTACCTTTTCTCTCCCCATCTCCCCTTACCCCCATCCCACGCCACCCCCAAGATCCTAATTTTCTCCCCGGCAATTTGGTCTACTTCCCTTAGCCAAGAGGATAACTATATGTTTTTCCTTGGGTTCACCTTCTTACTTAGCTTCTTTAGGTTCACCTATTGTAGACTCCGTGGCCCTTATTTATGGCTAGAAACCAATTATGAGCGAGTACATCCCATGTTCATCTTTTTGGGTCTGGGACACCTCACTCAGGATAGTGTTTTCTATTTCCATCCATTTGCATGCAAAATTCGAGAAGTCATTGTTTTTTACAGCAGCATAGTACTCTAGCGTGTATATATTCCATACTTTCTTCATCCATTCTTCCATTGAAGGGCATCTAGGTTGTTTCCAGGTTCTGGCTATTACAAATAATACTGCTATGAACATAGTTGAACAAATGCTTTTGTCATATGATAGAGCATCTCTTGGGTATATTCCCAGGAGTGGTATTGCTGGGTCCAGGGGTAAGTTGATCCCGAATTTCCTGAGAAACCGAAACACTGACTTCCACAGTGGTTGCACAAGATTGCATTCCCACCAGCAATGGATGAGGGTACCCGTTCCTCCACAGCCTCTCCAGCAAAGGTTATCCTTGGTGTTTTTGACTTTAGCCATTCTGACAGGTGTAAGATGATATCTCAAAGTTGTTTTGATTTGCATTTCCCTGATTGCTAAGGAAGTTGAGCACGACTTTAAGTGTCTTTTGGCCATTTGAACTTCCTCTGCTGAGAATTCTCTGTTCAGTTCAGTGCCCCATTTTTTAATTGGGTTAATTAGCATTTTAAAGTCTAGTTTCTTGAGTTCTTTATATATTTTGGAGATCAGACCTTTGTCTGTTGTGGGGTTGGTGAAGATCTTCTCCCAGTCAGTAGGTTGCCTTTGTGTCTTAGTGACTATGTCCTTTGCTTTACAGAAGCTTCTCAGTTTAAGTAGGTCCCATTTATTCAATGTTGCCCTTAATGTCTGTGCTTCTGGGGTTATACATAGGAAGCGATCTCCTGTGCCCATCTCCTGTAGGGTACTTCCCACTTTCTCTTCTATCAGGTTCAGTGTGTTCGGGCTGATATTGAGGTCTTTAATCCATTTGGACTTGAGTTTTGTGCACGGTGATAGATAAGGGTCTATTTTCATTCTTCTACAGGATGACATCCAGTTGTGCCAGCACCATTTGTTGAAGATGCTTTCTTTCTTCCATTGTATACTTTTAGCTCCTTTATCAAAAATGAGGTGTTCATAGGTTTGTGGGATAAAATCCGGGTCTTCTATACGATTCCATTGGTCGACTTCTCTGTTTTTATGCCAGTACCACACTGTTTTCATTACTGTAGCTCTGTAATAGAGTTTGAAGTCAGGGATGGTAATGCCTCCAGAAGATCCTTTATTGTATAGGATTGTTTTGGCTATCCTGGGTTTTTTGTTTTTCCATATAAAGTTGATTATTGTCCTCTCCAGATCTGTGAAGAATTTTGATGGGATCTTGATGGGGATTGCATTGAATCTATAAATTGCCTTTGGTAGAATTGCCATTTTTACTATGTTGATCCTCCCAATCCATGAGCAAGGGAGGTCCATCCATTTTTTGGTATCCTCTTCAATTTCTTTCTTCAATGCCTTAAAGTTCTTGTCAAATAGATCTTTCACTTCCTTGGTTAGATGTACCCCAAGATATTTTATGCTGTTTTTGGCTATTGTGAATGGTGAAGCTTCTCTGATTTCCCTCTCTGCTTCCATATCCTTTGTATATAAGAGGGCGACTGATTTTTTGGAGTTGATCTTGTATCCTGCCACATTACTAAAGCTGTTTATCAGCTGTAAAAGTTCTTTGGTGGAGTTTTTGGGGTCGCTTATGTACACTATCATATCATCTGCAAATAATGAAAGTTTAACTTCTTCCTTTCCAATTCGAATCCCCTTGATTCCATTATGTTGTCTTATTGCTATTGCTAGAACTTCAAGCACTATATTGAAGAGGTATGGCGAGAGAGGACAGCCTTGTCGTGTTCCTGAGTTAAGTGGGATGGCTTTGAGTTTCTCTCCGTTTAATTTGATGTTAGCTGTCGGCTTGCTGTATATAGCTTTTATTATATTTAGGTATGACCCTTGTATCCCTAATCTCTCCAAGACTTTTAACATAAATGGATGTTGAATTTTGTCAAATGCTTTTTCAGCATCTAATGAAATGATCATATGGTTTTTTTCTTTCAGTTTATTTATATGCTGGATTACATTGATAGATTTTTGTATGTTGAACCAGCCCTGCATCTCAGGAATGAAGCCTACTTGATCATAATGGATAATTTTTTGGATGTGTTCTTGGATTCGATTTGCCAGTATTTTGTTGAGGATTTTTGCGTCGATATTCATGAGTGAGATTGGCCTGTAGTTCTCTTTCCTGGTTGAGTCTTTGAGTGGTTTTGGTATCAGAGTAATTGTGGCTTCATAAAAGGAATTTGGTAATGACCCTCTGTTTCTATCTTGTGGAATACATTAAGGAGTATAGGTATTAGATCTTCTTGGAAGATCTGGTAGAATGCCGCATTGAAACCATCTGGTCCTGGGCTTTTTTTGGTAGGGAGGTTTTTGATAACCTCTTCTAATTCTTCGTGACTAACAGGTCTATTTAGATTGTTCACCAGGTCATGATTTAACTTTGGTATATGATATTTATCTAAAAAAGTATCCATTTCCTTTACATTTTCCAATTTTGTGGCATATAGGCTTTTGTAGTAAGATCTAATGATTCTCTGAATTTCCTCTGTGTCTGTGGTTATGTCCCCCTTTTCATTTCTGATCTTATTAATTTGCAAATTCTCTCTCTGCCGTTTGATTAGCTTGGATAGTGGTTTGTCAATCTTGTTGATTTTCTCCAGGAACCAGCTTTTTGTTTCATTGATTTTTTGTATTGTTTTCTGTGTTTCTATTTTGTTGATTTCAGCCCTCAGTTTGATTATTTCCAGTCTTCTACTCCTCCTAGG